CAAAGTGATAACATGCAAAAATAAAAAGAAAAAGAAAAAACAAGGGCAGATTGAAACCATTAAATTTCTCATTCTTCTTTGAACTCCACCTCCACAGTGCCTCTCATATATATATATATATATATATATATATATATATCGAATGCATATTGCCATAATCAAGTTCCGATACGGTTGCAAAAATCATCGCATGAAAACGTCTTGAAAATGGTCGTTTTCTTTTCTCTTCATATGTTTCCACGTGCTACATAAGTCAGGGCATTTTTATAGGCATGTATCGTTCAATGAATAGGGGACCATACATTCGAATCCAGAAGTCACAAGAGCATTGTTTCCTCTATGATGATGAGGGGTGCACGCTTCAGAAGGACATAGGGTCTCGTTAGACCCTCCTTGGAAAATCCTCAGGAATTATGATGAAGTCTTTGGAAAAATTATCGGTTTTCGGCATCGTCGTTACACCGCGTACTAATTCAATGGGTCCAAAGGAAAACCCTTGGAGGTCTCCAGTGGCCAATTTCATATGCATACACGCGGTCGCGGGGGTGAATGTTTGTGCTTCCTCGGGCGTGGTCAAGTGGCGGCGGCGGTGAGACCTACTAGGATGACGAGAAAAAAAGGGTGCCAATATCCCCGTTCCAATTTTAAATTTTGAAACCTCCATTATGACACATCCGTGCGTGAGGCGTCCTCGCAGCTGGACTAGAGACTGGGGCGAAATGCCTATGCGGAGAAGTGATGGTGGCCACGGCTTAAAAGGAGGGCATTGAAATGTTGGACGACGTAGCGTGTATGTGTAACAATTCTCAACTGCGACATCGCCTTCGTGTTCTGCATGCTCTTCGGACCGTCACAGCTTAGCGTGAACGTAACGCTTCTGTGAAATGTGGAGTGTGCGAGCGCAGTCCCCATCGACGTGCAGAAGGTGCAGCGACGACACCGACAGGCGAACTAGTGGTGGTTGCTTGCGCATTGCAAATCCTGACGATGGAACGAGAGCTCCCATGTGGTGCGAAAGCATTAACGACGTTGGAGAGAAACACGGTGGTCGCAATTGTGTCAGTCGTCGCCATGCATTATCGCATTGAGAGAACAACAACTTGCCTGAGGATGAGATTGTTCGTTCACAGGTAGAGGCAGCTGATGCAACAAGAGATGGATGCACCCTATTATGTGTCGTTATAGGAATCCATTGTGCAATTTTGTTGTGCCATGGCATCGGGTGTGGTCCCACGGGCAACGCTGAGATGGTAGATGAGGAGAAGGACGGGAGGGACATGGGAGGATCTCCAACAGTTTGACGATGTGGCGGAGGCCTACTACAAGGAGAAGCTGAGGAGTGGAGTAGTCAATGGCGCGCGTCGGCTGTCTGCTGGAGTTTTCCCACCTGTCCATCGTCGTCTTCCTCACCATTCGTCATTTCGGTCTGCTGCCAGCACCCCGCACAACGACGCACACGTGGAGCAACACGACAAGGAGCAGGAGAAGAGTGGCCAGCAGCAGGAGCGGGAACTGCCGGAGGACTTTTACCATGAATCACAACATGGTTGACGCGTGTACCAAACAAAGCTTGCATGAATGCGCCCGACAATAGCCAACAAAACAAGCTAGGCAGATGACTGCAATCGACTGACAGTGCTTCAACATCGCTTGTACAAAAAAAAAAAAATCGACCGTTGGACACCACGGCTGGCGACGCGCGCATGGAAAACCCTGCTTCGTGAAGCGCCTTGCAGCTGAAGAACCACCCCCACGCATTTGCACGCCAACGGGAACAGTGGAAGGCATTTGGGGCCCCGTCGAGTACTGGAGGCCGGTGATGTCCGCCCAATGAACCACGAACGACCTGTGCACCAACATTGACACCAAATTTTGCTGTTGGCCCTCTTTCCAGAACACTCCGTCAATCACGGCTCCTTGAACCCAAGGGACCTTGCGAGGACCCCTTGAATCCAAGGGCATTTTGGCTGGGAATTCTGAGCAATCCAAAGAAATCTCTCGTGAACGTTTTCGCATTCATTCAAGGAATTTGGTGAGTTAGGACGTGGTGTAACGACGCTGATTTCCTGAAAATCGGATTTCCAAGGAGGGTCTAACGAGGCCCACAGTGCTTCCATGAGTTCTCCTTTCGAATGTGTGGTCCCCCATCTCGAGAAAATGTCCGTGATCTGGAATGTTCGTGTTTTTTTCTTCTTTTTTGGAGCCTGTATTATAGTTGCAGCTGGAGCGTCCCTGTATGTGGAAACATGCATGGCGAAACACAAGAGTACACCTATTTCTCGTGCTTGGGCCCAGCAGCTTCTTCACCAATTCTAGTGCCGAGCCTTTCCCGAACCCCCGGAAGTTGCGGCGGCCGTGGCTTTTTTCTTTGGCTGGGCTAGGTACTGGTGGTTTAACCCCCATAATTTTTCAAATTTGTTTTTCATGAATAACATTTTGTTTTAATTAAAAACAAAAAGAACAAAATGCAACCGCAGTGGGGCTTGAGCCACACTATCTAGGTGAGCCCAAAAAAAAATAATAACAATAAAACATTCTTTCATGCTTCACAGGTGTGGAGCCAAATGACCGGCCGGTAACGTTCAAGTGACCGGTGCCGGTCACGTTCACTGTGAAGGCACTCGCGGAGAGGCCCTCAATTAGGTTATAGAAAAGCCGCATGACATCTTATTTAAAAGAAACACATATAAGAGGCCGGGGACCTCACAATTCAACCCGGGGCTAGGTCCCACTTGCACGAATTAAGAGATAGAGACCGTAGATAGCCGAAATCAACGGCCGAAATCTCCTAATCCTTGCACTTCACACCACCTGCCGGACCAACCTGGCATCAACGCAATCTACTTCTAGATCGAAAGCAACGGACGACCACTCATTCACATCCGACCCCTCCTGAGTCCTGACCCTACCGCGGCAGTATGAGCCACCGAGTGACCACGCTGAAGCATTTCCAGTTTCCCACAGTGCCTTCCACAAGGGTACTCTGTTACTGTTACCCGTTTCCTTGCCCCTCCCCCGTGAGGCTGTGAGCTGACGTCCGTGCCTCGTTGATAGGTTGCATGTGAAGCGGCAGTCCATCTCTGCCGGTAGAAATAATGCACGGCCTGACGCAGAGAAGCCTTGGTCACTGTCATGCCGGAAAGCTTTTGTATCGACGAAGAACTTATCTCTGCCACTTGTCATGCCCAGTTTCCCGCGGCAGGGAGCTGAGGCGTAATCTTTGTACGTCACCGTGACCTGCCGCATTACAGTGGGACCATGATCAACAGCGCGGCGGGGAAGAACGTTTATTACTCAATAAACAGCGCCCGGCAAGAACTCGGACTCCTCATTAATCAGCTCGTGTCAACATTTTTTTTTTTTTTTTTTTTTTAACCAAACAGTTAACTTCCACTCGCTGGTGCGCGGCAATCAAGGGCTCATGGGCCACTTTTGCAATTAAGGGCTCAGGGCAAAACAGCCCCTCAACTAGTTTATCGCTACCGTGTGTGCACCACTGATAGCGGGACGGCTGTGCGTGTTGATGTGATTTGATGTGGCGACTTGCCCCCCATCCCCGCTAGCTAATACGTAATAAAGCCCCGGGTGGTTTTCCCCGTTCCTTTTCAGACTTCTTTTTTTATTTTTTTTCCCCGCCCCTTCCATGTAGTACGATGACGCCTAGCTGGTTGATGAAGACGATGCGTTCTGGCGAGAGAAGGAACGTCCGTGCGGCATTCTGTGACATCAGAAGTCGGCACGTGCGCTTCCTCTTGCTGCGCGTATTCGTCTTCTCCTTTTTCCTGATCTTAGCTGCCATGCTCCGCAGCTACAGTCCGTTCAAGGGACTGTCCCGCAGATTCTCGTCGTTGGCTGTGATTTCGAATTCCCGTGCGCACGTGGTTGGGCGCCTTCTGCAGGCGCCCACATCGGCAGCCCCGCCATCTCTTCCGTTCGTATCATCACTTCCGCAGGGACTCTTGATCGACAACTCGGTACGGGTCGTTGCTTCACATCCATCCCCGACACAGAATTGTAAGTCTGTGATCACGAACCTGGTGGTTTCGCCTCAGAAAGGGTTGTACTATGTCCTCGAGCAGACCTGCTCGAACGGCAGCTCAAACAGCAGCGTCACGTCGATCAGAAAAGCCAACTTATCGAGCGCAACCCAGGGATCGGACTCGGCGGATGACAAATCAACATTATTAACCTACTTGTGGTCTTACGAAGAGCGGAACGGGTCGAGAATTGCAGAACGACCGGATTCGACGGCTTCCGTGATGGGGATGGCCCTTTCGAAAGATCGTTCCCATCTCATCTTGAGCGTATTCTACTCTTCCCCCGACCTTTCCGAAGATTCTGACGATCTCTACCCCTTCAATAGCACCATCACGTCCTTGTCTGTTTCTGACTACTCCCGTCTTTCTTCCTCCACGTTTTCCTTTGAGTTTATTAACAAAATCTGTTTGGACCCTTCCGGAGAGCGTCTGGTTTATAATAGGCTCTCTTACGGTGGACTCGAATATGTTCGGGTCGATAGCTCGGGACTTCCATTGGATGTACCATTAGAATTAGACAGCGATTCGAAATCTATAGACAGCGATTCGGAGTCCCCGTTTAGATTCATAAATGGAAGTTACATTGGTGAGGCCATATTCCAATCTCAAAGCTTTGTGAACAATTGCCTTTATTTTTTGCAGACAAATGGGATGCAGCTGTCCGGGTTTCACCCGTTCATCGAGGGGACCGGACCCACATTGCTATTGAACTTTGGTTTATCCTCAACGGAACGTAGCTATGATGTTGTGGTCACTCGAGACGGGTGTCATCTCTTTTCTACCGTATCGAATTTACTTTTTATTGCGGACATCCGCAGACAATGCTCTGAGGTAGGAAATGCCGTTTTTGAGTTGGGGTACCCATCGGGTACATTTAGGGGATTGGCATTGATGGAGAATGACGTGGTGGGGGACGCATACTTGTACTTGGGCTCTGAGGACGGGAAACTTTTTGAAGTGCAGTTGAACAGGTCTGGCAGAGGCTGTGTATTCGAAGCGGAATCAAGCATTCCCCCCCCAGATGAAGGTGCCGTAGAATTAAAACCAAGAATTCCCCCCGCAGATGAAGGTTCCGTAATACTATTATCAAAATCAAGCAATCCCACTGATCTCCCTGGATTTGTCATCACTGTGGTGGTAACAGCTATGGTGAGTGGCACAGTGGTCGCCACGGTAATCATTGGCAGCTTGATGTGCCTACGGCGGAGAGCGCGCCGCCGACCAGCTGGTCCGGAACGTCCCCTGGAAGTCGGTGAACAAGCGGCGTCATCTTTAATGGAAGATGAAGCGTTGGACGCGTGGGGAATTAAGCCGTCGCGGGTCAAGCAGTTCGCTTTCAGAGTCCTGTCGGAAAGTACAGACAAATTCAGCGAGGGCCGAAGAATAGGGGAGAAGGGAGCGTTTGGGAATGTTTACAGGGGCTCGCTCGACGGCAAGGAGGTCGCGATGAAGGTGATGACGGGTGAGCTAACGAACACCAAACGGAGCCAGTTTGTGGCCGAAGTGAACACCCTCAGCGGGCTCAATCATGCTAATCTCGTACAACTAGTCGGGTACTGCCTCGCGGGCGATCACTGCATCTTGGTGTACCCGTTCTTCAGAGGGGGCAGCCTTCACGGGCGGCTGTTCCCCAAGGCCGTCACTGGGAAGGATGCAAAAGCGCCGGAGACAGACGAAATTGTCGAGGATCCATCCCCTCCGCTGACGCTTCTGGAGCGCATGAGCATCGCCTTCCAGGTTGCCAAGGGGCTCGGCTACCTTCACGACGCCGCCAGGCCGCCGATTATCCATCGGGACRTCAAGAGCAGCAACATTCTGCTCGGCGAGGGATCTGGCGAGAAGCTTCACGTCGTCGTAGCGGATTTCGGATTAGCAGCCATCGGCGAGAGAGTATTGGGCACCGGACATGACCACATTGTGATGACCTCTCACATCGGCGGCACTTTCGGGTATATGTCGCCCGAGTACATGCTGAGAGGAGAGCTGTCCGAGAAGAACGATGTGTACTCTTATGGCGTACTCGTTCTGGAGCTGTTGACGGGCAGGAAGGTGGTCGGGCCGGCTCCTTCCGGGTTCGGATGGCAGACGCTGGTCGAGTGGGTGAAGCCTTTCCTTCGAGGGCCAGTCGTCCAGATCGGGAGCATGGAGATGCCCTACCCGATACTCGATCGGTGCTTGCGGGATCAGGTGGCTGAGGAGTCCATGAAGAAGATGGTGATGAACACATTCCGACTGGCTTGGGAATGCGTCCAAGAGGAGTATGGGTCCAGACCAGCCATGAGAGAAATCATGCAGCGCATGCACAACATGTTCCTGGAAGTGGGTTGGGATCGACTGACGGTGATGATGGGGGACCTAGAAAACGATGTGGATGATGATGCGATAACCGCTACATGAGGTCTCAAGGAATGATGAAGGTATGTTGAAAGCGGATTTACGCAGGTTTCCTGAGCAGGCCTGCTGTTGAGGACTGCCGTTCTCTCTCTCTCTCTCTCTCTCTCTCTCTCTCTCTCTCTCTCTCTCTCTCTCTCTCTCTCTCTCTCT